ATTGAGAAGATTTTCTAAGATTTTTCCTATATATTTCTATGTAAAATTTTGATTCCCCATTGTGGCCCCGCCCTTCCCCAGGGGGTCATGATTTGAACAATTTAAATTCTACACTACCTTAAGATGCTTCCACATAAGTTTCAGTTTTTCTGACCAGTGGTTCTTGAGAAGAAGATTTTTTAATGACCCCACCCTATTGTTGTCTTTTCTTGATTATCTCCCCTTGTGAGGGGACTTGGTCCTTTATTTTGACAATTTAAATTCCCCTTTACCTAAGGATGCTTTGTACCAAGTTTGGTCAAAATTGGCCCAGTGGTTCTTGAGAAGTCAAAAATGTGAAAAATTTACAGACGGAAGGACGGACGGACGACTGACAAAATGTGATCAGAAAAGCTCACTTGAGCCTTCGGCTCAGATGAGCTAAAAAAGGAATAACATTTAGTAAGCACGTTTTTCTTCAACACTACGGTTTGTAAGATTGATCCCCAAGAAGTAAATCTTAGTCAATCTCCTAAACAAAGGCAATACAGAAAAGCTTGTCAACCAAAAGTTATTCTTTTATAAGTGTCTTGATGCGGATTTATAACATTTATAGCCAAAATAAAATTTTTCATTTTTTGCACTGTATATTTCACAGGCACTTGTTTCTGTAATAAACAGTGCGACATTTAACTCCGGACACGACATTTGTCCGGACTTTTGCCAACCACTTTTCCAAAGATACATAGAAAAAATTTATGTCATCCGGTGGGATTTTTTTAATCGCACAACATGGGCTAACCTTTACACCTGAATATCTTCCAGTTTAAAAGATATTACACCTGAAATCAAGAAATCCCATGGGATTATGGTGGGATTTTCTCTCCTAACCAATATCCCACCATTATTCTGTGGGAGAAAAATGAGTTCTGTGGGATTTTTTCTCCTAAAGAATCAAAATTCCCATTTTTAACCTTACATGGGATTTTTTATCCCATAAGTTGTGAAATGGGACAAGAAGTTCCATAATTGTCACAAATAGGATTAAAAGTTCTCTATCATAATGTTTTATAGAATATATTATCCTACAGGAGAATGGAAATTGTTTTTATCTCTTTAATTCTTTCCCTTTGAAAATTTCAGTCCTAACTCTTTCCATTTATCATTTTACATTTAGAAAATACATGCTATTGCAAGCAAAATAATACCAAATTGGCAAAATTTCATTGAGAAATAAAAAAGTTATGACCATTCAAGAGAACACAGCAGTACGATTAACAGAGAAATTTGGCATGATGATGGATTCTCCCTATGAAAATTTCAGTCCTCTTACAATTTATCATTTTACATTTAGAAAGTACATGCTATTGCGAGCTATGAAAAATAATACCATTTAAAAAGTACAGCTGGCAAAATTTCATTGAGAAATAAAAAAAGTTATGCTCATTCAAGAGAACACACCACTCCGATTGACAGAGTATTACATGATGATGGATTCTCCCTATGAAAATTTTAGTCCTCTTACAATTTATCATTTTACATTTAGAAAGTACATGCTATTGCAAGCAAAATAATACCAAACTGGCAAAATTTCATAGAGAAATAAAAAAGTTATGCTCATTCAAGAGAACACACCAGTCCGATTTACAGAGTATAACATTATGATGGATTCTCCCTATGAAAATTTCAGTACTCTTTCAATTTATCATTTTACATTTAGAAAATACATGCTATTGCAAGCAAAATGATACCAAATTGGCACAATTTCATTGAGAAATAAAAAAATTATGCTCATTCAAGAGAACACACCAGACTCAAGTACAATTATCGGAGTAATATGACATGATGAAAGATTCTCCCTATGAAAATTTCAGTCCTCTTACAATTTATCATTTTACATTTAGAAAGTACATGCTATTGCGAGCAAAATAATACCAAGCTGGCAAAATTTCATTGAGAAATAAAAAAGTTATGACCATTCAAAATAATACCAAGCTATGGCAAAATTTCATTGAGAAATAAAAAAAGTTATGCTCATTCAAGAGAACACACCACTCCGATTGACAGAGTATTACATGATGATGGATTCTCCCTATGAAAATTTTAGTCCTCTTACAATTTATCATTTTACATTTAGAAAGTACATGCTATTGCGAGCAAAATAATACCAAACTGGCAAAATTTCATAGAGAAATAAAAAAGTTATGCTCATTCAAGAGAACACACCAGTCCGATTGACAGAGTATAACATTATGATGGATTCTCCCTATGAAAATTGACAGGGTATTACATGAGATTAACATGATGTACTCTATGAAAATTTTTCTTACAATTTATATTTACATTTTACATTTAGAAAATACATGCTATTGCAAGCAAAATGATACCAAATTGGCATCAATTTTTATTTAACATTGAGAAATAAAAAAATTATGCTCATTCCGATTGACAGAGTATAACACATGATGGATTCTCCCTATGAAAAAGTCCTCTTACAATTTATCATTTTACATTTATCATGCTATTGCAAGCAAAATAATACCAATGCAAAATTTCATGATTCAAGAGAATTGACAGAGTAATACATGATGATGGATTCTCCCTATGAAAATTTCAGTCCTCTTACAATTTATCATTTTACATTTAGAAAGTACATGCTATTGCGAGCAAAATAATACCAAGCTGGCAAAATTTCATTGAGAAATAAAAAAAGTTATGCTCATTCAAGAGAACACACCACTCCGATTGACAGAGTATTACATGATGATGGATTCTCCCTATGAAAATTTTAATCCTCTTACAATTTATCATTTTACATTTAGAAAGAACATGCTATTGCTCTTATTCTGTATTTTGTGTTGATGTGCAGTGCTAAGTTTGAACTATCTCGGAAGATTTCAATACATATTTAAAAAAAAAAAAAAACCTGAGATGCTTGATATTAAACAATAGTGCTAGTTTCCCTATTTAGTTTATTTCAGAAGTTCTGTATCTATCTGAAATGTACTGTTTGTACAGTGCTAGTATCCCTATTTAGTTTATTTCACAAGTTCTGTATCTATCTGAAATGTACTGTTTGTACACTTTGAATACAAGATTATTGGTAGGAAAGTTAACTACATGTGTATACTTTTCATACAGAATTTACATCTGATATATCTTTTACGTTCAGTTTTCTTATTTTATTTTTAATTTCATTTATTTCTTCAATTTGAACGATTTATGTGTGAAATTGTGATTTCTAGAATAACATTAAAACATGTTTCCTGATAATATATAATATAATGAACACATTATTTTCTTTATATACCAACAGTTCTAAGAAGACCTCTTTGAGTATTTACTATAATTTAAATCAATGATCTATAAATTGTCATTTTTCTCTATAAAACTTTCAAAAAATTTCTTTTTCGTCCAAAGTTTCTTAAATTAAAAGTTACATTGGCTATTATTGTTTAAATGAAAAAATAAATCAGGTAAACATAAAGACCAAAAGTATTTTAAATCTATAACTTACGTACTAGAAAGGGACATAACTCTGTAGAGAGTGTCGTATTATGATTAGTGTCCCAGATCGGACATATAATATTCTTTCAACTAAAGTTCAAGCTATAAAATTTTATAAATGATACATTTTTATATTATCGTTAAAAACAATAATAGGACATATTCATAAACGCGTCACAAGACCCCACTTCGAGATATTGACTCTGTTGACTTCTAAACGCTTTAGCTTTGGACGGGACTATATTTTTGGACGGGGGTGTCGATCCTAAGTTAAGCTCAATGTGATTTTTTTTTTGATATTTGTCATCTGAGTTTTATTTCAAAGAAAAAATTATCAACTTCTGTAGTATAACCTGTTTTTCTTAATTTTGCAGTAAACGTGGTAAATGTTTGAATACTAATAAAGCAACTTAAGTCTGCTGTTAAACCTACCCCCCCCCCCCCCTTGCTAACTTCCAAGAATCCAATATCTTCACCCCAGATCTCGATAGGGTATGATACATGTATGTATATACCTAGAGGCAATTAAGAGTCTTTTGTTTTCCACAGGTAGCAAAACTGTCACAATTTGCTTGGAACTAACAAAACATACACAGGGGATATTAACACTCAGAGAGTCGAATTAACAACTGAATCTCATGAAAAACAAACTCCGTGCTTTACTAAACCTCCGGATTGATGAAGTCATATTTTTTTTTTTCATTTTCAATTTAAAAATTAAATCCAACATTTTTACACCATTCATTATTGATAGCAAACGATAAAATAAATTGTATATATTTTCCCCCTTAAAAATATAAACTTGAATCATGTTTATGAAAGTAAAATGAATACTCGTATAATAGCTTTTAATTTTTCATTCTACGTTTCACAAAAATGGGATTTGAAGAGACAAAATTTTATAGGTTACTAGCTATTGATTATCACATGAAGGATATTTGGTGAATGATACAATTTTGAACATCATACATGTAGAAGGTTAACAATATATCAAAATGCCGTGAAGAAAAAGAAGACGGGGCTTTATTGAGGCTATGTACTGCTGACTGGACTTTCAAACGCTGACCATGCAAATAAAGTTTTCTTGACGTTTCAAGGGAAACATTTTATTTTAGAGATACACAGAGACTACCCCCCCCCCCTACCCTCCTCCTTCTTATCATGTTCTCAGTGATCATGATCGATGTCCCATTTATATTAAAATATTAATATTTTTGGTATTGGACATTTTAATTACCATTATTTAAATTTTTGTTGTTGTAAATACTACCATGGGTACGGTATTATCTATGGTAGTATTTACAACAACAAAAGTCAGAAAAAATAGGCCTGATAATTTATTTCATTTCTTTTTTTTTTTTTTTTTTGCTCGTGAACTGTGCATTGTTTAAATTAAAAAAAAAGATAAACAAATAAATAAAAAAAGCAGCAATATTCTATCTATGAATTCACTTCTTAAAAATTCTGTGCAGAAGGATGCATTTTTATTTAAATCCCTAGAATTACCCAATGCCAATCAAAAAAACGGCGACAAGAGATTACATGTATGAGGAAATTTCCACATGATGTTGACAAAGACCTGCTCTATTTTTGTAAGTAGATTTAGAATTATTGAATTTGTTATTTATTTCACATGTTACTGCATGGATCATAGATTTTTTTTTAGTCTAAAGATCTAGTATAAGATCATCCCGTTTCCTCTGATTTTATAAACAGACTTACAGTGTCTTCATATGTTATGAATTTCTTTCACTGTAAACAGTGGTAAAGTGTTTGCAAACCTAGCAGTCTAGTCGATGGGGATATTCAGTAGTACATTATACAAGTTAACAAAGTAAATAATCGTCAGAAAATTATACACATCCGAATATTATTCTTTTGTTCGAATTTCCTCAATGACAATTAACGTTGTAGTACTCGTTCGTTCGAATATTCTCAATGACTTGAATGTGTACACAAGCTGGTGATTGTACATAGAAATATATTGTCATGTCTAACTTTGTCTGTAATTTGCAAGTTACAGTTTATAAGTATCTTGATCATTGTTGATTACAGTCATCAGCATTACTGATTAGAAAATTAATTCTTATCTTCTCTCAGACATGGTTAAAAGTATCCCACTACTGTAGTGTACTATATAGGGATTAACACACATTGCGTGTGTTGCAAGTATTATTTCTTTTTCTTTCTTCTTCTTCTTTTTTTTTTTTTTTTGCTGTCAAGATAATTTTTGAGATATAATATGGGGATCAGTGTTTAATGATTAAATATATTACATGTCATGATGGACATAACTAATCACCCCAAAAACTCCTAATTATATTGTATCCAAATATCAAATTACTTAATCTCTGTTAGAAAATTTGTTGATCCTCTGAAGTTTACATAAGACATGTACCCACATGATTATTGATATAATCAATTATTAAAATGGTTTTTTTTTAATCTCTGAAAAACAGTCTTAAAACTTTGAGTGAAAATCAATCTTTAAACTGCTAAACTTATTTTTATACCATGAATACATAGGAAGGAGTATCATTATTAAGTTATCTTCATGTACTTTTGAGGGGAAAATTATACATCTGTGTGCATGTTGATCCTTATGTGTAAGTAAATAATAAAAGACACAAATGCTAAGACTTTTTTATTTTACATATTTATTTGTAAAAATATTTTTTATTACTTTAAACTGAAAAAAAAAACATTCTAGCTTTATTACTAATAATATGATTTTTTGTTAGAATTGATAGGGAATTGGATATTTAAGAAATAAAGTTCACTTTTTCATGAATGTTGCAGTATAACCTGCTTTGTTAATGTAGCATAGATTTAAATTACACAAGGACTCCCAATTTCAATAGTCATCGCCCACTGACTTCAAACACAAAGGTAGCCGCACAAGAATTACATGTATATGTGGCCTCCTAAGCGTCAGACACAGAGATGGGTGCACATGAGATTTTCATGAATATTAGGCCTTCTTAGCTCCTAACCTATCGACCTGCCTAATTTACATTCCCGTAGAATTATTAAGAAATCAACTCTCTTAACTTTCAAAGAGTTACCACAGAGAAAAATAAAATGCCCCGCCACAGCATGATATGTCCGTCAAATATTGTTCAATAATCATAAATTGGTTAGAGTGAAAGAAAATCAGGTAACCTTGATTAACAGATTTCAATGATCTAATTTCCATTTCTTATCATGTTGAAAATATTGTACATGTATACATCTCTAAGAGACTTACAGTGTAGGGATTAATTATAACTAAATAATACATCATATAATTCTAAACTGGCTGTGTTAGAGCTTAACAAATATCTATCTGCAGCTTTAAATTGTTTATTGAATATTTTGTGAAATAATGGAAATGCTACAGTCTAATAAAAAAATAAAAAATAAATCATTCTTTAGACTATAAAATTCTAAGTGAGACATGACTGCAATTTGTTGCAAATATATAAAAATTGAAATGTAAATTTTTTTTTCAATGAACACATGTATTATTAGCTTTAATTATATTATACAATACTAATTTAGTTTTAATCATACACTAAAACATTAATTTCTTTTAATTACATTAAATCAATTGAAAGATCTTTATCTGGAATATAGCCATCAAGAACTCTTAATTAACACAAGCAACTATGAGGGCACAGTGACCTTGAAATAGGCTAGACAGGATTTTTCATATTTGGCCATAGCATTTTTACTGAAGATCAGAGCAACCTACTTTTTGTGTGTGTCACACCGTCTACCCAAGAAGTATTAGTTGACAATCCTAGGCCTAATAGTATTCAATTTATGAGCCGGACACGAATGGACAGATGGACGGACGAACATGAAGCCTATAATACATGCATAACATAATACGTCCCGTCTTAAGACAGGCATATAAAAACAGACATGGAAATATGGCATCATCTGACATCATGAAAAATTCTCAAGGGCATAAAACTACTATAGTACAGATACTGGTAACTGTATGCAGAACATGCACAAAGTTTCATTTATGGTATATTTAGAGATGAAAATAATTAATATTTTGTACTTCGTCCTCTTAGGGTGAATTTTAGTGTCAGTCATTTTGGCTGGATTGAGAAATTTGAGTGATTGATAGTTTGATACTCAACATGATCAATTCATTTTCTAAATTTGGTGAAAATTTAATCCATGCTTTGTTATTATACATGTACATGTAATTGATATTGTATGATTTATTCTATTTTTTCCTTTAACAGAAAATGAAGATATATATACTGACATATAGTGTACATGTACCTTGAAGATTTGTCCCCCTTGTAAATACAAGAAATGCAAAGGTAATTCTTTTTGAGAATAGAAAGAATTAAGGAATACAATGTAATAAAATTTTTCAAACCATACAACAAAAACTACTTTGAATAATTACGGTAATACGCAACCAACCATTTACAATTGAATTCTGCAGTTTTATTTCTTTAATATTGAAAAAAAACAAATTTGATAATTTTTAGCTCACCTGAGCGGAAGGATCAAGTGAGCTTTTCTGATCACATTTTGTCCGTCTGTCAACTTTTCACATTTTCGACTTCTTCTTAAGAACCAATGGGCCAATTTTAACCAAACTTGGTACAAAGCATCCTTGGGTGAAGGGGAATTTAAATTGTTAAAATGAAGGGCCAGGTCCTCTCACAAGGGGAGATAATTATTAAAGAAAGACAAAAATAGGGTGGGGTCATTAAAAAATCTTCTCAAGAACCACTGGGCCAAAAAACCTGACACATATGTGGAAGCATCCTGGGGTAGTGTAGATTCTAAATTGTTCAAATTATGACCCCTAGGGGCTGGGCAGGGCCACAATAGGGAATCAAAGTTTTACATAGAAATATATAGGAAAAATCTTCTTCAAGAGAACCACTGGGCCAGAAGAGCTGAAACTTATGTGGAAGCATCCTGGGGTAGTGTAGATTCTAAATTATTCAAAATCATGACCCCTGGGAGTTGGGCGGGGCTACAATAGGGAATTTAAATTGTCCAAATTAAGATCCATGGTTAAGAATTGCATGACCCAGTCAAAGCTTCTCAGGTGAGCGATGTGGCCCATGGGCCTCTTGTTTTAGCTCTACTGGTCAGAGACCAGAAGAGCTTATGCGATAGGAAGGTGTCCCTTTGTCCGTCCGTCTAGCTGTCCATCCGTTGTCTGTCCGTTGTCTATCTGTCCATCTGTCTGTAATTTTTCAAAACACTACTCCTCTGTTTTATTCTGATTTCAATATAACTTGGCACACAAGTAGACTGCACTAAGGTACATAGTGCATTGGTTTTTTTTTTAAATTTCAATGAACAGTGCTGCCATGGTTACTAAAAATAGAAATTTCTGTATAAAAATTCCTTTAAAACGCTACTCCACCTACAATTTTGGTATGATTTCAATGTAATGTGGCACCAAGTAGACTACACTTAGATACATAATTCTGTTTAATGCTGTCGCAAAATTTCAAATCCAAGTGCTTCTTTTTCTTTGTTATGCATACAGACCAGTAGAGCTACAGTCTCATCAGAGACTTCTTTATTATCCTTTTCATCACACAGCAACTTTCTTTTTTTCAGTATACACAGATATATACATACACATAAAAGGAGACATCATCTCATGATCTGTGGATCCATTGAAAACTTTAAGGACAAAACTGTTGATAATTCATTCATGTAAAGAGTGTTGACCTGAATATTGAATATCTAAATGGAACTAAGTTAGAGAATTAATTTAATAAGTATTATATTGTATATTACTGAATACTCTTTTTATTCATCTGTCAAATTTCTTAATTAAAAATTAAACTTAAAGGCTTAAATAAGGATTTTTTTCATTATTTTAATTAGAACAAGTTCTTTAATTTATTTTTCTCTTACATAATTGATAAACAGGCATTTAAGGTCATGCGCAATGTAGTTTGCACTTTATTGGGTTCTTCCCTGGAGTTCAATAGTTCCACTAAAGGAAGGACATGTGTGCAATATTTTTATTGTCTATATATGGATTTGTAAATCTCCTCTAAAACAGTTTTGATGAAAAAAAAAATCTGGAATTTATGTTTTGTAATTTTTGTACATTTTTTCTTTGAATAATGCAAAATTTTTCAAACTTTAATATCTTTTCAAAATCCCTGGAAATGCATGCTGATTTTTTGTCTAAAAATATGTAATATGGTACATGTATTATAAGTTTAAATATAGAATTTCTTGAAAAATTATCAGTAGGTAAGATACCTTGCATATTTCCTTAAATGTAAAATTAAGGGATGTGTACCTTTATTAAATGAACTAGGGAATTCATGAAGTGTGCATATTTATTTAAAAGTGTTTTATTTTGCATGCACTATGCCTAAAGGCAGAGGTTTTTTACCGGGTGGTAAATTCCAGGTGAGGGAGGGGCTTATTTTGTACAGGTGTGAATGCCTTGGGAGCTACCAGTCTACCTGTGGCCATCTGTCTCCTAATTCCTATACACAGGAAGTGGTTTAATACACAGTGAAATACCCAGATGTCAAACTTTACCTGTGTTGGGGTTTTGAGAAAATTTTGAATTAATAGAAGTAATACAAACTTTCTCTGTAATCTATATTGATTTATTTATGAATGTTTGAAAACACCCCTATTTAAAACAATTATGATGATATCATACTATAAACTCAAATATTACAACAAAGATTATTTTAGATGTTAAAGTATGTGTTAATAAAAAAAAAAAAAGATACTCCAGTAACAAGTGTAATGACCAAATAAGACTTTATGTTTCATTCTCCCCCCGGATTCCATGAATTGAATGAAAAGAAAGCCTTGTTAATTAACTATATTTCATTAAAAAGAAAAATGTAGTCATGCAGGGTTTGACACATGGTGCGAGTGCACTATGTGTCAAACCCTGACTACTATAATACATGTAGGCATATAATACATGCAAAATACTACACTAATGTTATTATTATGCATCCCTATTATAATATGTCACCTTGTGCAACGTGCGTCATAATCTTTTTCTTTAATTTTGAACTTTCCATGCTTTAGGTATAATGCACAGATAGTTTTAGAGAATAGTATTTGACTGAAGGGGGGGGGGGTATTGCAAGAAACTATTTTAAAAGAATTATTTTGAATGTTAATTTTTCATCTGAAGTGTTAAGTACTGCAGAACTGTAGCTCTCTGAAATAATATATATTGACAGATGGGAGAGCTACATGTGCAGTGCCACCCATAGTAGAGCACTATTTCGGCATAGTATGTTTATGCTACAGTGTATTTAAATCATAAGAACATAATGCAAGAATAGTAGGGTATATGGGTTATGTCACAGAGACAAACTGACAGGAAGCATAATAATTGACAATATGCATTTATGACAAGAAAATTGAATTCCTGAAAGAAGTTGAATAAATTTAAGCCACTGAAGTACCAATCTAGTTAAAATTAGATGTTAGATCTGCTCACATAGTCACTACAGTCAGTTTAGCGAGTATGAGTGCGGGTCTAACATCTAATGATCTTATTTAAATTACATGTAGATTGCTGAAGTAAAAGTTTAATACCCAATCATGATGATCATTCTGCTATATTTGCATCCGCGCTAGTATTAATAGTGAGCTTTAACTAACTGTGGCCTGAATCTCTTATTTTATGTGTTTTGGGGTGTCTAAAATCAAGGTGCATACAGATGTTAAACAAAGAAGAAACTTGCAATGGCCTAAGGTGACTTATCAGTTGAATCCATGTCAATGGTGCATATAGTTATTTTATGTACCAAAAATAATAAGCAAAAGATCAGCAGAGTGCTTTTATTAAAGAAGTAACAGAACTAAGGAAAACTTGTCTTCTACTGGATGATAAGAAACACTGAGTAGAGTACCACCGCAATTTTTGGATCCATGCCCTTTCATCATATTTATTTTTGAACGGGTTCAATGAACTGTCAAAAATTATGGAAATGTTTCTAATTAAGGTGTAGGTAAAATGTTTTGAAATTAGTGAAAAGGTAAAATTGTTAAATATTTTTAATGCAAACTACCAGTAAATGTGCATAATGAAGACGGTTGATTTTTTTTTCAACATTATTTATTGTTCATTTGTCAGATCGGGTTCGTTATGTCTAAAATAATTTCCAGCTGTCATTGGAACAAAAACAAGGCATGATCAGGATCATACAAAGAAAATTTAGAGTAAAAAATAGGTAAATTATTACAGTTTGTTCATCTGAATAAGTTTTAAAACTCTTTGAGAATCTCAGAGTGAATGACTCGCCCCAATTTCATGTGATTTTTTAATTGGAAACCCATCAGTTTAGTGCAGCAAACAGGCAAAGATCTAACAACATATATGGATCTGATCTTGTTGTAAAGCTTGACAAATGGCACTTACGCAATAAATTAACCTTAATGATTAGGAGGAAAATAGACAAAAAAGATTTGTTCTTTCTTAATTGCATTTTTTTCTCATTCAAAATTTACATACAAGGAATAAAAGAAGGTAAACTACATACAACTTACAAGGAAATTGTCTTTTTAGTTTAAAAAAAAAAAAAGAAAGTTATATAGATTTTTAGTGCTATTTCATGTAAAATATTTAATCATTTGAAAAATAAAACATTACCCCACTGCCCTCCAAATTGGTTAATTTTAAGAAATAAAAAAATGGTGTAGGAAACACAGAAACTTAAATGAAAATAAATAATTAATGGTAGTTAAACTGTTCAATATTTTCTTTATTTGGTTTAAAACTGTTGTTTCTTAATCCCATGGGAGAATTTTTTTCTGTTTTGAAATAAATATGGGATAAATCCCACATTTATAAAGAGATGGGAGATTATTTTCTGTATACAAATATATGGGAGATTTTGTCCCATTATAAAGCATTTATGGGATTTTCAAACTTCTATGGGAGAAAAAATCCCACAGAATACCTTTTTCTCCCACAGAATAATGGTGGGATATTGGTTAGGAGAAAAAATCCCACCATTATCCCATGGGATTTCTTGATTTCAGGTGTAATATCTTTTTACCTAGAAGATAATCAGGTGTAAAGTTTGGTACATGTGTTAAGTTTTAAAAAATCCCATCAGATGATATAAATGGTTTCCACATATCTTTGGAAAAGTGGTTGGCGAAAGTCCGGACAAATGTCGTGTCCGGAGTTAAATGTCGCACTGTTAATAAATTTTTGACCGATAGTAATAATAATAACACCCTTGTGTTAGTATTATACTATGGGTTAAAAATTATTCCCGAAACAAGTGCCTGTGGTATATTTATATCCCATTAAGCTAGGTATTATATCCCAAACGGACTAATATTATATTCCATTTTGGCGAATGGTCCCAACCTGTTTAAGAGTGGGTCTTCAACACTTGGCTATTTTTTGTGAACGAAGAAGAAGGTACAGTTTCAATATAAATTAAGCCCTATATTTTTCTAAAATATGAAAGTGATATAAGAAATTAAAATTCATTCTTTCTGAATCATAGGAATTATGTGCAGTAAGAAAACACAAATGGTTTTTCTCATATGACCTCCTAAATGCTAATTGTGACGTCATTAACTTGTGCTTTTTTCCGTATTTTCTAAAAAGTTGCAGAAGACATCAATTTTCAGTGGAATTTTCTTTCAGAAAACATACTCTGCCACCGTCGCCCGGAAAGATTTTGAGATATGTGATTTTTCATGGCAGTTTGCACAATATATCCAAAAATTAAAGCGGGCGACGGTGGCAGACACTATTTTCTAAAGGAAAATTAGCAGAAAAACGAGTCATTTTGAAGCTTTTCTGCATTAAACTTAAAAATGTACCAAATTTATGACGTCATATTCCAAGAAAGGTCCTTCCTCATGCCATATTCCTTAATGATTTATCATATCCATCTACTCAACTATTGTTAAAGCCAATTTCATGACTTTTTAAGAACATTAAATTTTTAGTGCACAATAAAGTTTAAACCGTACCGTCTTCTTTGAAAAGCATTGGAGGGATGCTTCTTAATTAACGTTAACATTACAAAAATTTGGTATGAAGAGTTAAAGGTCTACAGTTAACTCTGAATTTAAACACTATATAGTTTACTTTTTTCACCATTTCAAGCTCGAATATACTAACTAAGGTTAAACATGTTAAAATGATTATACATGTAATTGCAAGGAGTAAAGATCAACTGGGAACTGTTTGAATAGACATTTATTGAGGAAATTAGTCGAATCATTTTGTGATCTTTTATGTAAAAATCATTAGCAGATTCGCATCTAAATCATCTGTTCTGTCATTCCGTGTGAGAACCCCAAAACAGCCTGCAGAAGTAGACATTTACTAAGGACAATCCAAAATTCAATACGGAATGGTTTATGAACATTTGAGTATACCCATCAGCTCTAATACGAAATCCAAATCTCGAATTTCTCACGCATGCTCCAAAGGATGGAAGTCCTACGCTTTGTCCGACCTAGATATATCCCGTGTTAATCCTCCGACAATGGTTCACCTATACCGATCAGTGGTGCTACCATCGGGTGTGAAACCTGGAAGCACATGACTAACAGACTAAAGAAGACGTAACACGTCTTAATACTTTCCAACAAGGAATCTGAAAGTAGATCTTTAACACCGTGAAAAGGGACACACGTGGGATTTCGATTAAATACAAAATAGTCTTGAATACCAAAATCTATGTTTATATACCAGCTACTGATTAATAATTATTTGCAGGAATACATCATGGTTTGATGACTGCAAATAATTTTAAATTGACTCCAATTTCCTCTTTGCTAATCTAGATATTTGTTGAGCAAATTTTGAAAAGTACATTAAAGAATGACTATGTATTGATTAGGTTGATGGAATTATTGTCGAATTAAAAACTATTTCAATTGGTGTGTAAAATGTTAGCCAAAACATTACTCAATATATATATATTTCCTTACAAATTCACTATACTGTTCAAAAAACGATGACCCCAGACTGAAGTTTTCAAAAACCTTGCAGTATCAACCTAAACTGATTTTACTATAGTACCTGTTTACACCAGCAGCTAAATCTAAGCTGTAATGGAATTCAGGCTTTTGCAGATTTTATCACATCTAGACAAAACTGAAAACAATGGCATCCTTTTATTTTCTACTTATTCTCAAAATATATTGTTTAAGTGCATGCCTTTGCTGTCAGACTTCCAGGACATGACTTCGATTTGATTACGACCAATTTTTAAACTTAGTTAATCTTCTGACAAATAAGTTGATTTTACATGGATTCAACCACATTTAAAAAGTCAGTTTTTTGCTAGAGGAACGAGTGA